GAGGAAGCGGAAGAGGAGGAGGAGGAGGAGGAGGAGGAGGAGGAGGAGGAGGAGGCGCAGGCGGAGGAGGAGGAGGAGGAAAACCAGGGGGAGGAGGCACCTACTGGCGCCATTCGGCGTTGCGTCCGTGGTTCTCCTCGAAATTGTGAGGCCGTCTATGCGAAATGCTCCGTCGCGACCGCTTCAGTTGCCGTGCTGGATTGCGGGCGCGTGCGTCGGTTGCGTTCCAGCGACTTCGCCATGGTTTTGTGCACGTGTCGGCCGAACGAAACGAGCGATAGGGGATGAGCAGGATGTGGAAGAGCATGGGATGAGGACGAGGAGGGTGAGGAGGAGGGGATGGTGATGTTGGTGATGATGATGTCGATGATGATGATGCTGATGATGCTGATGATGATAACGCTGCTGCTGATGATGATGCTGATCCTGATGATGACCATGATGATGATGCTACTGATGCTGCTGCTGCTGCTGCTGATGATGATGATGATGATGATGATGATGATGATGAGGATGACCATGCTGATGCTGATGACGATGATGATGATGACGATGATGCTAATGATGATGCTGATGATGATGATGATGATGATGATGATGATGATGATGGTACTGCTGATCTTTTTGTCAATTGACGTGTCCGCCTTCGTCCTCGCGCGCTTTGCGGTTTTTTTTCGCCAGGGGAAGTCTTGAGGCTCAAGTTGTGCTCCTGGGCCCAGGGCTACAACCTATGCCGCGCCAGACATTCTCGCAATTTACTCACGTATCGCGCTCGCGCCTTTCAGGCATTGCCCTCCCGCCCCTGACTTGCTTTCGATGAGTTCACGGGTCGCGCTTTCGCCTGGGACACCTTTGCACGTAACGGAGGAATTCCGTTTCCGCTTTGGACTTTCGGCATTGCCTTCAGATAAGGAATCACGCAGTCGCCTGGGACCTCCTCGTGGCCATTTTGAATGCCCCCACCGCCCCACCCGCCTGTCTTACATTGTCAGGGTTCACCCCGTCAGATGGCATAAAAGATGAGTCCCGCCAACGGTGTTCGTTTGTGGACGAGAAGGGCGGGTGTCAAGGATTCGCGGTATACATGTTGAGTGACACGCGGGCAATGAAGAGAGCAACTTGTCTCAATACGGTGGTTGTTGTTGCGGCTGCCAGTATTGCTGATGATGACGATGATGCCGATGCTGATGCTAATGCCGACTCTGCTGCTGATGATGTCGACGCTGCCGACCACGCTGATGCTGCTGCTGATGCTGCTGCTGATGATGTTGATACTGGTGGCCACAAGGATTGTGAGGAGGAGGAGGGGGAGGATCAGGAGGAGGAGGAGGGACAGGATGACGATATTGACGAAGCTGATGCTGATGCTGATGCTGCTGCTGCTGATGATGATGATGATGCTAATGCTGATGGTGATGAGGGTGATGATGATTCTGATGAGGATGATGACGAGGATGATGATGACGAGGATGATGAGGATGCTGATGAGGATGAGGATGAGGATCAGGAGAAGGAGGAGGAGGAGGAAGACGATGATGATGATGCTGATGTGGATGACGACGACGATGATGATGACGATGATGATGCTGATGATGCTGATGATGCTGCTGATGCTGCTGATGATGATGATGGCGATGATGATGATGCTGATGATGATGATGACGATGATGCTGATTCTGATGATGGTGATGATGATTATGCTGATGATGATGCTGATGCTGATGCTGATGATGGTGATGATGAGGATGATGATCATGGTGATGATGCTGATGATGATAATGATGATAATGATGATAATGATGATAATGATGATAATGATGATAATGATGATGCTGATGATGAGGATTATGATGCTGATGATGATGATGTTGCTGATGCTGATGCTGATGATGATGATGATGATGATGATGCTGATGATGCTGATGATGCTGCTGATGCTGATGCTGATGCTGATGATGATGATGATGCTGATGCTAAGGCTGATGATGCTGATGATGATGCTGGATGATGATGGTGATGATGATGATGATGATGATGATGCTGATGATGATGATGATGATGATGATGATGATGATGAGGAGGAGGAGGAGGAGGAGGAGGAGGAGGAGGAGGACGAGGAGGCGGAGGAAGAAGCAGAGGAGATGAAGCAGGCCGAGGAGGTGGAAGAGAAGGATGACGAGGATGACGTTGAGGAACCAGGTTGGAGGAGCAGGAGGAGGACGATGCGGAGGGGGATGTGGATGAGGAGGGCTAGCTGGTGGAGGTCACTTGGATGGCACAGGGACGGCTCGATCGTCAGCGCCATTTTCAGCCTCTCGGACCTCGACGATTACATCGGGGGCGGCACGATGTTCAGGGACGGCATGTGCTACGCGCCCGACAAAGGCGCCCGCGTGGGTTTCCGGGGGACTTCCTTGACCGTCTGAACGGCCACTCGGGACATCTTGGAGGCTTCCTGATGGCCTCTTTGGCTGTTTTGGGTCCCCGTAGGAGCGTTTTTGGAGCCGCTTAGCAGTCTCGCGGGTTTTTCGGGAGCAAGGGAGAGGTGGCGGCGGAAACCACAGATTGGAGGTCAACATGGGCGACGCGTCATTGCATGTTGTACTGTTCCGGCACATGGCGCTTTTGGGGCATTGGAACATTTTTCCCAGACGACCGTGGAGCCCATCGCGCTCCCGAGGCGCTCTGAAAACGCCCCTTGGACGCTCCAAGAGGGTTCCAAGGCGGCCCCCAAGAGGGCCCCAAGAGGCACAAGTCATTTGCTTTCCATTGTCCATTGTCCATTGCCGTCGTCGTCGTCGTCGTCGTCGTCGTCGTCGTCGTCGTTGTTGTTGTTGTTGTTGTTGCTGTTGTTGTTGTTGTTGTGGTCGTCGTCGTCGTCGTCGTCGTCGTTGTTGTTGTTGTTGTTGAACATGATTAATTCTAAAGAATAATTATTGTTGGGACCCCTGGTGCACGCCCCCCCTGCGCCGCCTAGGCCGCAGCTACATTTTCATCATTTTCGTGAGGAAGTCTCAGGTAATTCGATGTGATCAAGATCCGGTTGTTTTGTTCCCCCCCGCTTTCCCTTGCAAAAAACACTATAAAATGACATTTCTTGTTCTAATATAATCAAATTTCAAGAATCCCTTGCAAAAAATAAGGTAAAGTGGACATTCGCGCGCGCAAGACGAAATCCTTCCAAAAGCTTAGTGTTCGGAGCGATTTTAACATAAAAACATCAAAAAACCAATGGTTTTTCAACAAAAAAATGTCAAAATCTCATCCCGCGCGCTCTTGCGGATTCGTAGGAAAACCAACACTTTTTTAAACATTTCTGTCAAACGGGCTTTTGCGAGCAACTTTTTCGAACTTCTGCGACAACGGTTGCGCACCTGCCAGGGCCATCATCCCTGTCAAATAATACCATGCGGGACACATTCGTTTTTTTGCGCGCGCACGCCGAAATCTCCAAAAACCATTGGGTCCTCGAAAAACACCTGCACGTCTTCCCTTGCGAGTACGTATCATGTGTATCATGTGTATCATGTACCATATGCATCATATGCAACAGATGTTCTGTGGAAGGCTTAACAACTTCTGTGGGTTAACAAGGCTTAACAACTTCTGTGGGTGTACGAACGTAGGCTTAACAACTTCTGTGGGTGTGTACTCCACGCCAGTGTAGTAGCCACGGTCGTCCGCAGGCCACGAAGTGAAGTGTCCGAACGTCATAGGGCGGGAAGCTGGGTGTGGGTGGTGGCGAAGAGTCGTGTGGATATTTGGTAGAGCTTGCATTGCCCCCCCACAAAATGGGGGTATTGGCTGGCGTCGCATGAAAACCCTGGCACTGGTGAGAACACTGAGCGTTCGGGTAAAGTGATTGTTGTTGTTGTTGTTGTTGTTGTTGCTTTTGTTCTTGTTGTTATGGTTGTTGTTGTTGTTGTTGTTGTTGTTGTTATGGTTGTTGTTGTTATTGTTGTTGTTGTGGTTGCTGTTGTTTTTGGTGGTGGTGGTGGTGGTGGTGGTGGTCTGTCTTGTTGTTGTTGTTGTTGTTGTTGTTGTTGTTGTTGTTGTTGTTGTTGTTAGTGTTGTTGTTGTTGTTGTTGTTGTTGTTGTGGTTGTTGTTGTTATTGCTGTTGCTGCTGCTGCTGTTGTTGTTGTTGTTGTTGTTGCTGTTGCTGCTGTTGTTGTGGTGGTTGCTTTTGTTGCTGCTGCTGCTGGTGCTGCTGTTTGTTGTTGTAGTTGTTGTTGTTGTTGTTGTTGTTGTTGTTGTTGTTGTTGATGATTGACACTGCACTGTGCCCCCCGGCCCCCCCCCAGCAACCAGCAACCAACAACCCAGCCGCTGGCGCACTTGGCGCACCTGGCGCACCTGGCGCGCGTGGCGCACCTGGCGCGCATGGGGCACCTGGCGCACCTGGCGCGCCTGGCGCACTTGGCGCGCATGGCGAACCTGGCGCACTTGGCGCACCTGGCGCACCTGGCGCGCCTGGCGCGCCTGGCGCACCTGGCGCGCCAAGCGCGCCTGGCGCACATGGCGCACCTGGCGCACCAGGCGCACTTGGCGTGTCTGGCGCGGCTGGCGCGGCTGGCGCGCCTGGCGCGGCTGGCGCACCTGGCGCACCTGGCGCACATGGCGCACCTGGCGCGCCTGGCGCACCTGGCGCACCTGGTGCGCCTGGCGCACCTGGCGCACATGGCGCGCGTGGCCCACCTGACGCACATGGCGCACCTGGTGCGCTTGGCGCGCCTGGCGCACCTGGCGCGCCTGGCGCACCTGGCGCGCCTGGCGCACGTGGCGCATCTGGCGCACCTGGCGCAGCTGGCGCACCTGGCGCACCTGGCGCACCTCTGGCGCACTTGGCGCCCCTGGCGCACCTGGCGCGCCTTGCGCGCATGGCGCGCCTGGCGCGCCTGGGGCGCGTGGCGCACCTGGCGCGCATGACGCACCTGGCGCACCTGGCGCACCTTGCGCACCTGGCGCGCCTGGCGCACCTGGCGCACCTGGCGCACTCGGCGCGCCTGGCGCAGTTGGCGCGCATGGCGCACCTGGCGCGCGTGTCGGACCTGGCGCACTGGCGCGCGTGGCGCACCTGGCGCGCCTGACGCACCTGGAGCACCTGGCGCGCCTGGCGCACCTGGCGCACCTGGCGCACCTGGCGCACCTGGCGCGGCTGGGGTGCCTGGCGCACCTGGCGCACCTTGCGCACCTGGCGCGCCTGGCGCACCTGGTGCACTTGGCGCACCTGGCGCACCTTGCGCGCATGACGCACCTGGCGCACGTGGCGCACCTGGCGCACCTGGCGCGCATGGCGCACCTGGCGCACCTGGCGCACCTGGCGCACTTGGCGCGGCTGGCGCACCTGGCGCACCTGGCGCACTCGGCGCGCCTGGCGCGGCTGGCGCACCTGGCGCACCTGGCGCACCTGGCGCACTTGGCGCACCTGGCGCGCCTGGCGCACCTGGCGCGCCTGGCGCGCCTGGCGCACCTGGCGCACTTGGCGCACTTGGCATCTGGCGCACCTGGCGCGCCTGGCGCGCGTGGCGCATCTGGCGCACCTGGCACACCTTGCGCACCTGGCGCACCTGGCGCGCCTGGCGCACCTGGCGCACTTTGCGTGGCTGGCGCACCTGGCGCACTTGGCGCACCTGGCGCGCCTGGCGCACTTGGCGCACCTGGCGCACCTGGCGCGCCTGGCGCACCTGGCGCGCCTGGCGCGCGTGGCGCACCTGGCGCGCCTGACGCGCCTGGCGCACCTGGCGCACCTGGTGCACCTGGAGAAATGTCCAGATCACAACCGGTCGGGTGAGATCCCAACTAGTCGGTGAGATCACAACCGGCAAAGACAGATCCCAACCGCTCTCCGTAAGGAATCCTAAGGGATCCTTAGGGATCCTTAGGAATCCTTAAGACATCCTTAGGACTCCTTGAACAATCCTTAGGGATCCTTTGGAATCCTTGATACATCCTTAGGAATCCTTAGGAATCCGTAAGGAACCTTGAGGAATCCTTAAGGAACCCTTACGGAATCCTTAAGAAATCCTTGAGGAAACCTTCAGGAATCCTCAGGCATTTGTCATTCGTTAGAATTCTTAAGAATTCGCGTGAATTCTTATGAATCCGTAGGAATCCTTAGGAATCTGTAGGGATCCTTAGGAATCCTGGAGAATCATTAGGAATCTTTAGGGATCCTTAGGGCTGCTTAGGAATCCTTTGGAATCCTTAGGACTCCTTCAGGAATCCTTAAGCAATCCTTGGGAATCCTTCAGGAATCCTTGGGGATCCTTAAGGAATCGTTAAGGAATCCTTAGGAATCCTTAAGGCATCCTTAGGAATCCGGAGGAATCCTTAGCAATCCGTGAGGAGTCCTTCAGAAGCCCTTAGGATTCCTTAAGGAATCCTGTGGGATCCTTAAGAATCCGTAGGAAACCTTTAGGAATCCTTATGGTATCCTTAGGAATCCCTATGGAATCTTCAGAAATCCTTGGGGATCCTTAGGAAGCACCTGGCGCGCCTGGCGCGCCTGGCGCGCCTGGCGCACCTGGCGCGCCTGGCGCACTTGGCGCGCCTGGCGCACCTGGCGCACCTGGCGCACCTGGCGCGCCTGGCGCACCTGGCGCGCCTGGCGCACCTGGCGCACCTGGCGCACCTGGCGCACCTGACGCCCTATGGAGTTCTTAGCAATCCCTAGGGGTCTCTTGGGAATCCGTACGGAATCTTTAGGAATCCAGCGGAATCCTAAGGAATCCTTCGGGAATCCTTTTAAAACACAAAGGGAATCCTGAGGAACACCGGGGGAATCCTTGGGGATCCATCGGGAATCCTAGAAGTCCTTTGGGGATCCTCAAAGATCCTTACGGAATCCTTGGGGAATCCTTGGGAATCCATAGGGGATCCTTAGGGATCCCGACGGAATCCTTAGGAACACCTAGGGATCCTTAGGGAATCCATAGGGAATCCTCAGGAATCCATAGTGAATTTTGAGAAATCCTTAGGAATCTTGTAGAAATCTTAAGGATCCCAGGGGATCCTTATGGAATCCTTAGGAACCCCAAGGGAATCTTCAGGAATCCCTGCGGAATCTTCAGGAGCCCCGAGGGATCCAATAGGGATCCCAGGAACTCCTCAAGAATCCTGGGGAATCCCTCGGGATCCAGCATTCGTGAGGATTCCATAGGTTCCCTAGGGATTCCCTAGGATTCCTAGGGATGCCTTAGCATTCGTGAGGATTTCATAGGATTCTCAGGGATTCCATCGGATTCTTAGGGGTGCCTTAGGAATCCCATGAGGTGTCACAGGACTCCTCAGGAATCCCATGGGATTTCTTGGGGATCCTTAGGAATCCCATCGGCTTCTGTCGGATTTCTAGAGGCTTCCTTAGGGATCCTATAGGATTCCCTTA